ACGAACACGTCCATGGTGGACGACAATGGAGGGATACCAGAGTCGGTTGCTTCCACCTCTAACCAATAGTAGGCTTTCTTCTCGCGATTGAGCATCTTCTTCGTCCTGATTTCGCCTAAACATAATGGCGTCATTACCAAACTGTGATCCATTTAGGAATACCAACATAAACGAAAACGGGTGCAGTTGCACTACACCTAGCGATGAGGCAATCGAACGGGAAAAAACCTACCGGCGAACATGCATACATCGCATACAGACAATAAACACAGTCAAATGAAAATTATCAGCATGATGATGATTATGATAATCACTACACCTTTGCCAATTAAAATTCAAAATCAAGTCAATTCTTAAAGGAGGTCATAAATATACTCTGACTTTCTAGCATGGTTTTGTAAATGTGCCGAAAAATGCAAAGATCAATACAGACCCCAAAATCATCATTAGACACTAAGTTATTACGCGTCATACCAGGGAGATGGCTACCAGAACGCGCAACACTGGGTTTTCACCTTTGGTCAACCGCTGTGGCTACTGCATGAATGCATGACGCGCTGGTTTTACACCGAGCGCTGCGCAGCAGCATTATCAGAGTCAATCGCCATGTTAAATCTGTCAGAGTATCAGCTGGATGTCCAGTAACTAGAGGGTGTATAATCACTATATGCTGACAGCAGGCGCTGTATCAGGGTAAATGACGTTAAGTCGAGATCTTTCACTGTTGGTACCGGCATCAGCCAAGGCTGCATTTTGTCTCCTCTCTTGTTTATGATGTACACGGATAGAATAGTCAAGCACAGCCAGGGCGATGAGAATATTTGTGTAGGAAATGTCGAGACGACCTGGTTGCTGTTTGCAGACGACCCTGTTTTGTTTTAATCTTCTGAGGCTGATTTACAGCGTTCTCTCGAAGGGCTCGCACCCCAGCGCGACGTAGCAGGCATGCGCGTCAACGTATCTAAAATGAAACGCCTGGTTCTTTCTCGTACTCCTGCCCAGTGCTCTCTGAAGTTAAACGATAAGTAGTGGAGAAATTCAAGTTCCTTGGGGGTTGTGTTTACTGATGAGGGAAAATGGGAGTTAGAGATCGACTGGCAGATTGGACCAGCTAGTGACTTTCTGCGTGAACTAGCTCGAACCAATATGATTAAAGCAGAGCTGTGTCTGACGATTAAGCTCTCGATATTCAAGTCGATCTTCATCCCCATGGTCACCTACGGTTACGAATCATCACTGAAAAACTTCGATCCCAGGTACAAGCGACTGAAATGGGTTTTCAGAGACAAGTAGTTGGCCTTATACGTCTCGACATGGTCCGAAATGCATATACACGCGAGAGCGTGAAAACTATTGCGAAAACCTCCAGAAAGGAAGGCGAAACAATTACTTTTTGTCCAGCCATCCGGCAAAAGGCCCAGCGGCCAGGATTAATCTGGTGCAAATATATGGAAGGGGCCTGCATCAGATTCGGGTTATATTCTGCCGTAGTTCAAACGGTAGCAGAGGATCAGGAACGTTGGAAACACAGTCTGACGTGTCACCCTACGTCGCGAGCATAAAAGATAAGTGGTCATCGAATCTGATCGTCTGACTGGCACTTGAGCCAGAAACATGTAAAGAAATAAAGTTGCACTAGAACGTACCCATGTAGTCAATGACAAAAAATGCCGCTCCGTCTCCGCCGGTCAGCGAATATGTTATTATTTCATGAGGGCCGGCGTCCGCGTCCTTAGCCAATACCTTAGCGACCGATGTGCCCTGTGGTTCATTTTCTAGAAGCCATTAAGATAAGTAATCAGTAAAGAAACAGTCTAAAACTGCAACCGAAAACTGAGGCTTCGACGGCGATGTTATCAAAAACTGGTGGGTAGCGGTTAGTCCGAACTTTGAGCAGCTCCAAACTTGCGTGGCATCGAGTAGTCAGCGGTGGATTTCCATGATCAGAAACGCGAACCGTGAAGTTGTACATGTGCTGTTCGTCGTCCTTCAGTCTCTGCTTCAGAAGAATGCATCCACTTTCTGAGTCGATGGCGAATTTCCTGTATATATTTTCTGGTGCGTCGAAATCGTATGCCAGCAGGCCTGCAGCACCAAGGTCAAGATCAAATGCCGAAACGCACAAAACCAATGACCAAGGAGGGGCATCTTCCGGAAGCTGCACCTTTTGATTGTTTATGTAGCAGCTAAACAGACATTTTGTAGAATTTAATATGGACAGAGAAAATGTCATAGAAGACCATCAATAGCATTCTCTAAAATTCATACAATTCCAGTGCCGATGTTTCAACTATTCTGTGACCTGATGATTCAAATGATGGTCTGACACGCCGGCTCATCGCTTTTGTGGATGCACATTTGTTGTGTTTATAACCACTGTTTCCTTCAGTTTAGAAGGCTTCTTAGTCGGCAACAGTATTCGGTATATATGAAAAACTGAATTCAAAAATTCAGGATCACTGACTCCGTATCCTTAAAACAGCTACTAAAGAAAAGACTTATGCGTATGCTAAACCTTATTGCCAGGATCACGCTAACTGATAAAGATCTAAGCATAACAGCTTGAATAGGTACTGGCTGTCACAAGATTTGTTTTAATTGTATTATCATCACAGATTTTATTAGGCCATTATTATAGTAAGCATTTGCATATCACTTTCTTTGCTATCGTCTTTTGTCTACAAGAAGAATTAACAATGGTAATTAGCTAAATAAACGTTAATGAAATCATTAATTAAACATTAAATTAAATCGTATATGCCAACATCTTGAAAAGACGGAGTATTTTGTTAGTGCGTCGCTGGTTATACTGGAAAAGGCAAAAAGCATGGTTTATTTTTACATATCGTAAATGTGATGGTCAATCAGATGATTTACAGGTACTGTCATTTTGATCATTACCTACTGGCCTTCTTCAAAGTAAGGAGTTGGTTGAATTTCGAAAGTTTCGCTTTTTCTCCACAAGGGTACGTACGTTCTGATCCAGAACGCCAGCTTCTGACCCGTATTAATGGTTAAGTGGTTTCCTTACCACATGGACGACAAGGCTCCTTCAGAATCTGAGCAGTCTGCATCAGTATTCATCGAAAGATTTTACTAATCATCCAATCATGCGACAAGGTCAACCGTAACAAATGACACGAACTCTGAG